ATCCCGAGAGGAGAATGGAGGAGAAGGGATTGCGGCATGACCATCCCCCCTGGGGGGTGATTTCTCGCTTTCTGTCTCTATGTCTCTCTCTGTCTGTCTGGCGAGCACACGCGCTCTGTAGCGAAAATCTCTCAAAAAAAAAATTTTTTTTAAAAAGAGGAAGGGGACATGACTGGGCTCTTTCTAGTATCTAAGGCTGTTGATGAGCCCAGAGTCCTATGATGTGACCTGCCGGGTGGTCTTCAGCAAACATACCAGTGCTGGGAGTTGAGGCTGTTGCTGCTCTTACGCAGGATGGTGGGGGAGCTGGCAGCAGAAGTGCTACTTCCCTCGCCTTCTTCCTCCTCTTCCTCCTCCTGCTCCTCCTCCTCCTCTTCTAGGCTCTGCAGGTGCTGCTGGCTGCCCGGGTGTTCCTGCACACGCAGCTGCTGTAGCTGGTTCTGCAGGCAGAGGTGGGTGCTCAGGGGCAGGATGAGCTATGACCACCAGCCCCCAGGCTGCCCTGCCTGCTCACACAGCATGCTGTTCTCACCTGGGCATTGTAAATGGCATCCACCCAGCCACGGCACAAGGCCTGGCCGCTGGCCTGAAACGTGTAGGCCCCCACGGCACTGTGGAACTCATTCAGGTAGATGAGGAGGAAGGAGCCTGGTCAGGGTGGGTCCGTGTCAGTGTTGGCTGAAACCACAGCCTCAGCCCCCACTCTCATAGCTTCTGCCCAGAGCATGAGACCAGGCCTTCTCACCAGGGTCCCGTAGCTCCCGGCACACGATCTTGTCCACCAGCAGTGGTGGCCTGATGACCTTGGTCCTCTCGGCCTTCTTCACTGCCTTGGTCACCAAGAGCAGATCCGTGAAGAGGAAGCAGTACACGTCCATCTGGGGGGTGGAGCAGAAGAGGCTGTCAGGGCCAGGGCCCCGGGACTGCTGCAACATCCTCCCTGGGAGCACTCAGTTTTTGTCAAACACCACTTCCCCCCTCACTTCCTATGAACTTCCAAGTAAAATTAAAATGAAAAGAAAAATAATTCTTTCTTGAGGAATACATTTATGGTGTGTCTCTTTTTTTTTTGGGGGGGAGAGGTTTTTGCTATAGGGTATGTGTGCTTGCCAGAAAGACAGAGACAGAGAGACAGAAAGCGAGAAATCACCCCCCAGGGGGGATGGTCACGCCGCAATCCCTTCTCCTCCATTCTCCTCTCAGGATCTTGGGCACACACGCACACGCGCCCGGCATGAGTTTGAAGCCACCAGGTCCGGGCCGCGAACCGCGGTCGACTACGTGGGAGTCCAGCGACATAGCCATTACGCTAAGTGCTGGTTCCCGCATTTATGGTGTATCTCAATTGAATTTTTAGATTTATTAAATTTTATTATTTTTACTTATTTATTCTTTTGGAGAGGTTTTTGCTATAGGGTATGTGTGCTTGCCAGAAAGACAGAGACAGAAAAACAGAAAGCAAAAAGTCAACCCCCAGGGAGGATGACCACGCCTCAGTCCCTTCTACTCCATTCTCCTCTTGGGATCCTGGGCACACACACACACTGGTGTGAGTTTAAGATACCAGGTCTGGGACTCGAACCGTAGTCAACTACATGGGAGTCCAGCGATGTAGCCATTACACCATCCGCTGGTCCAAAATTTAATTTTTTAAATGAATTATTTTAACTTTATTTATTTAAATTTGACCAGAGAGGGACAGAGAGAGAGAGAAAGCAAGAAAGCAAGTTGCCAGGGCCTCGAACTGCAGTCAGCCATGTGGAAGCCCAGGGTGCTTAACCTCCACACAACTGCTGGTCCAAAACTTTATTATTTTTTAAAGAATTATTTATTTGATTTTATTTATTCTTCTTCAATTTGACTGGAAAGAGACAGAAAAGAGAGAGAATGAAAAAGCAAGCTGCCAGGTCCAAGACTCAAGCTACAGTTGGCTAGGTGGGAGTCCAGAGCTTCAATCACCATGCCACCTGCCACCCCAATAGTATTATTTTTAAAAAATTTGCTATAGGGCATGTACACTCATCAGAGAGAGAAAGAGAGAGAGAAAATGAGAAAGCTAGCCACCAGGTCTGGGACTTGAACCATATTAGGCCATGTGGAAATCTAATGCCTTAACTACCAGATCATCTGCTGGCCCCTCAATTAAATTTTATAGTAAAAAGAAAAGGGGGAGCTGGCAGGTGATGCAGTGGTTAAGGTGCTGGACTCCCACATGGCTGACTGTGGTTCGAGTCCCGGCCCTCGCCTCCCATGTATTCAACCGCGGTTCGAGTCCTGGACCCGGTGGCTTAAACTCACGCCGGGCGCGTGTGCGTGCATGCCCAAGATCCCAAGAGGAGAATGGAGGAAAAAGGATTGTGGCGTGGCCATCACCCCTGGGAGGTGATTTCTTGCTTTCTGTCTCTCTGTCTCTGTCTTTCTGGCGAGCGCACGCGCCCTGTAGCAAAAAAAAAATAAATAAAAAAATAAAAGTAAATAAATAACTACTTAAAAAAATAAATAAGGGGCTGGAAGATGGCACGGTGGTTAAAGGTGCTGGACTCCCACATGGTTGACCAAGGTTCAAGTCCCAGACCTGGTGGCTTGCTTTCTCACTTTCCCTCTCTCCCTGATCAAACTGGAAAATAATAATAAAGTTAAATGCAAAATAATTATTTAAAAAATAAATAATAATAAATAGAAGGAAAAGAAAAGGAAATGATTTAAAATTTGCAGGCTCTTGGGTCCTCAGTGTGTGAAGGGTTATTAGCATGGCAGCGAGGCTTTGGGGGGTTCCCACTGTAAGAATATGCTCTCCTCTTTCCCACCCACTGAGAACCCAATGGCACTAACAGGTGAGTGTGATCAGCACCTTTGGGGGCCAACAGGTGACATAGTAGGTAAGGCACTGGATTTCCACGTGACTTACTGTGATTTGAGTCCTGGACCTGGCAGCTTGCTTTCTCAGTCTCTCTCTCTCTCTCTCTCTTTTGTTTCCTTGGGGTGTGTGTGCTTGCTAGAGAGAGAGAAAGAGAGAGACAGAGACAGCGAGAGGGAAAGTAAGAAATCACTCCCCAGGGGACTGGCCACGCAACAATCCCTATTCTTCCATTCTTCTGGAATATTGGGCATGTGTGCCCATGCCCCGGATGATTTTCAAGCCACAGGGGCCGGGATTCCAACCACAGTAGGCCATGAGGGAGTCTCACAACATAAACATTATGCCATCTGCTGGCTTCAAATAAATAAGTCTTTAAGAAAAAGATCAGCACCTCCATGGGCTACAACCTGAGAGCTGTACTTGTAGAAAATAAAATGAAGGAGCCAGCAGGTGTCATGGTTAAGGCACCAAACTCCCACATGGCTGACCATGGTTTGAGTTTTGGACCTGGTGGCTTACTTTCTCACTTTCCTTCTCTGTCTGTCTCTAGTCAAATTTAGGGGGAAAAAAATTGGGACAAGCAGATGGTATAATGGTTATGTTGCTGGACTCCCACATGGCTGACTGCAGAGTCCTGGACCTGGTAACTTGAAAGTCACACTGGGTGCGTGTGCATGTGCACCCAAGTTCTCAGGAGAGAATGGAGGAGAAGGGACTGCAGAGTGGTCATCCTCCCTGGGGAGGTGATTTCTCACTTTATGTCTCTCTGTCTCTCTGGCAAACACACATACCCTACTGCAAAAATCTCTCCAAAATAATAATAGTAATAATGATGAATAAAATATTTTAAAATTCTTTAAAAATAAATAAATAAATTGAGGGCCAGCAGGTGGCTCTGATGGTTAAAGTGCTGGAATCCCACATGGCAAACTGAGGCTCTAGTCTCAGAACCAGCGGCTGAAAATCAGAACAAATAAACAGATAAACAAGTGTTAAAAAAATAAATCAGGGGACCAGCAGTTAACGTAATGGCTATGTCACTGGACTCCCATGTAATCGACCACAGTTCAAGTCCCAGATCCAGTGGCTTAAAACTCATGCTGGGTACGTGTGTGTGTGTGTGTGTGTGTGCCCAAAATCACCAAAAGAAAATAGAGATTGTGGCATGGCCATCACCCCTGGAGGGTAATGGAGGAGAAGGGATTGCGGCATGGCCATCCCTCCTGGGGGGTGATTTCATGCTTTCTGTCTCTCTTTGTCTGTCTGGCGAGTGTATGCATCCTATAGCAAAAACCTCTCCCAAAAATAAATAAATAAATCAGGACTACAGATGGTGTAATGGTTATGTCGCTGGACTCCCATGTAGGTGACTATTGTTAAAGTCCTGGACCTGGAGTCTTAAAGTTCGCACTAGGTGTGTGTGCATGCATGCCCAAAATCCCAAAGGGAGAATGGAGAAGGGACTGCAATGTGGCTCTCACCCCTGGAGGGTGATTTCTTGCTTTCTGTCTCTGTCTCTCCGGTGAGCACACATGCCCTATAGCAAAAATCTCTCTAAAAGCAATAAAATAAATATAAATTGCAACAGATGATCATCCCTCACTACGAACACTAAATCCTTAGTTCTTGAGTCACCACCTAACTGGGCGGCTGGAGACCAGGAGGTCCCTGGGAAGTCCAAGCCCACAAAGCAAGAGGGGATAGGGCAGGGGCCTGGGTCACCTTGCTGTCCTTCCCCTCCTTCATCCTCAGGCTCCCCTCCAGCAGCAGCTGTCGTGTCTCCTCAGGGGAGGCACCAGGGATAGGCGCTGTCAGGTCCAGGTGCAGAAATTCCTTCAGGAGCTGGGGATGGGGTGTATGGGGGGGTCCTCAAGTGAGTGTCCCAGCATCGCCCCTGTCTGCCACTTGGGCCCCTCCTCCATTCCAGCAGGGCCAAAGACCATCCTTCTGTACCATACGCACGCCTACCACGCCTACCTTGTCTACTTCGTCAGTGCTGCCCTCCACCACCTCATAGGCATCGATGCGGCTCACCACTGCGGCCAGCCGCTGTCGCTCCTGTCGCTGCCGCACGCATGGCTTCACGTGGTGGATGAAGCGCTCCACCGAGTTAATCTGGGGGTAGGTGACTGAAAAATGCTGCGATGTCCCCCCCCCGGCGCCCAGCCGCTGTCGCTCCTGTCGCTGCCGCATGCATGCATTCACGTGGTGGATGAAGCGCTCCACCGAGTTAATCTGGGGGTAGGTGATGAAGCTTCAGGCCCTAGCCTAAGAACCAGGAGGGGACCCCACCCACCTGCCCCAGTTACCATGGTGATGACAGCTTCCTTGGCATGTGGCTCATCTGTCTTCCTCAGTATGGACTTGAGCAGCAGCGGGTACTTGGTGAGTCGCTGGTGGGGCTTGGCCAGCATGTCGCTCAACTTTAGCCGCTGGCACTGCTGGTGCTTTTCGGCCCACTGCAGAGGTGTGGTGCTGCTCAAGCAGGCTCCGCCCCGGAACCGACCACGCCCACCGCTAGCCTCCTTCCCTCTAGCCAAGGAGGTGGTGCCTGTCACCTGCACCCCTCCCTAACCAGTCAGCCCACGCTCACCGTGACATAGGCCCGGAAGAGCTCGTTGTCGCGCAGCAGGCTGCGCATGTACTCCATGCAGCCTTCCTCCTCCATGCAGTACCGGATGTATGGCTTGAAGAGAGAGCCGAACTGGCCAGGGCAGAATAACCACAGCACGGTTACCGCGTGTTCCCCGCGGGCAAGCCCCGCCAGGTACTTCCCAAGCTACCTTCCTGCACTTTCGCGACCGCTCCAGGGGGCGGCAAACTTATTAGCCCTGTTTGCAGATGAGAAAACTGAACCTCAGGAAGTGGCCACCGGAGGCCAGGCAGCAGGCAGGGATGGCTAGGTGGGGCTTCTAACAGAGTTGACTGACTCATGTGAGGTAGGGACCCCAACCCTGACTCAGTGTCTCCGTCTCTCTCTGGCCTCACCCGTACCATCTTGAAGCCTTTGAGGAAGTCCCCGGGCTGCAGCAGCACCCGCGTGCGCCGCGCCTTCTCCAGCACCGGCGCCATCACGCTGCCCCACAGGCCGCGGTGCAGCCGCGCGATCTCTGGGATGTTGCTGAACAGGCGCTCGGCCTCCACCTGGGCGGGACGGGAGGTGCGGTAGGCTCCGCCCTACCCCACCCCGCCCAGCCAGCTCTTCCCTTGCTTGAGTCCCACCAGGATCCCCCCCCAAGGAACCACCCCTCCGTCCACTGCACCTCACACAGCAGCCCCGACTCCTGCAGGTTCAGAAGGCAGCACAGGAACAGCTGTAGGGCAGGAAACGCTGCAGCTGGGGCGGGTGGGGGTAGCCCAGTCCCGAAGCTCCACCTACACTTAGGATCCCTCCCATCCCTTGGGGAAGTCCCTGAAGCAGCCAGGGGCAGAGGATGTACCCTTTGATCTTAACACCTGGGACCTCCAGACCTAAAAGAAAGGCCCAGTCCCTAGGGCCCACCTCACTGTCTGGGGGTGTCACTCTGCCCTGGCCCCAGCTAGAGGGAAGCTCTGTGAACACTGGTCTTGCAGCTACACCTGGAACTCTCTCCTCTACTTCTGCACTGGCTCAGCCTCCCGGTTTTCCCCAGAAGGAGCTTCTTCCATCCAAGACTTTCTTCAGCCTCCAGGCACAGGACAAGTGCCCCCCTCCCTGGGCCCAAATCTCTACAGCACCTCCCGGCTCTGTCCCGTCTTGGGTGTGGGATCTGGGCAGCTGGCACACAGGAGGAGCTCAGAAATAGCCCTTGAATCAACAAGTGGAAGAGTAAGGCCTCGCTCATGCTAATGCAGCTCAGCCTGGCAGAGGTCCCTCCCAGGTGTCCAGGCCCCGGGAAGCACCTCTCCCCACCAGGTGCAGCCCTTCTTTGACTTTACTGCCTCACCTCACTGTCTGGCACCTGCTCTTCTGCAAAGGCCTACACTCAGCTGAGGAGTGCCCAGAAAAAGATGGGGGTGGGGGAAGGTAGGAGGGGCAGCCCCATACTCACATTGGTGATCACCCGCAGTTTCCTGATGTAAGAGGCCTCGGTGTGCAACAGCTCCCATACCGCCTCCTGCTGGTGGCACTGCCGCCGGGTCAGCTTCTAGAGGGAGGGTAGGGCGGATCAAGCGGGAGCCAGGAGTGTGTTGGGATGGCCAGCAGAGGGCGAGTAACCCTGCATGCAACTTCCTCATTTCCACGGGGGAACACAGAGGTCTCAAGAGGGGCAGGGTCACTGTCACCATCACATGGATTATCACAGTCCAGACACCCACATCTGCCACTAAATGATCAAGCAGCACCACTTTCTCCTGGCCTCAGTTTTCCCAAGTAGGCTGAGGATAGCAGTGGCCTCTTGAGGTTGTCCCATGAAACACCCTGCCATTGGTCCTCGAAAGGCCATGCCCTCCTTTCACAGACAGAAGGAAGGAGGGCTTTCTTTGGGCTCACTCACCTCATGTCCATCAATGAGCTCCCGCCAGCTATCCTCCAGCCTCAGACAAGTACTGTTATCATCCTCTTCCTCCTCCTCCTCCTCCTCCTCCCAGGAGTCATGATCAAAGCGCAGCCTCCTAGGCAGCCGGGGCAGCCCGAAGAGGCTGTAGGCATGCAGTTTGCCCTCCAGCTGCTCCATCTTGTCCACCTCCTGGAAGAGACCTGTGGTCAGCATCAGCTGTCAGAGCCAACCAGCTGCCCTGCCCCAGGGCCCACGGGCCACATACCCGGCCAAAGGCGCTGGTGCTGGGACCCGAGCTGAAGAAGCCACTGAAACGACTGGCTGCCCGGTTCTTCCCGTCCGCTGCTGGTGCTGCCACTGCTGCCACTGGGCAGAGAGCTGCTGGAGGCCAAGGGGGGGTCCTGGCCAGGGATGCTGGCTTCCCCCAGGAACTCCGACATGTTTTTGCGACGACGGCCTGGGGCCTGGCAGGGAGAGGTGGCCAAGGTCAGGCCCCAGCTCCATGGTTTCCAGGACCTCAGGCTAGCCTGGGAGGGGAGAGGGTCTCTGCACTCCTGCCCTGGGGTGCTAACTCCTGAGGCGCAGACGTACCTGGACTGTCCCCCCCACGTCCCCCCACCGCATCTTCAAGCACGTGGGGAAAAAGACGGTTAAACACACACACCCAGATGCACTTGCAAATACAGCTCCAAATGAGTCCCACAACACACACTTGCACATCCAGTCAGTGACACAGGCCCTCCTCTCTCTCACACACGTCTGCTGTGCCACACATGTACGTAAACAGACATGCACATACAAACACACACACTCCGATTCCCTGGGTACTAGAAGACTCAGAGATAAGACCTATCACCTCGAGATATGGTTAGATAAAAGGGGGATCCTCTATTCTCTCACAGTCAGCCCCGTTTTCCACAGGGGGAAGTTAAAGCTCCAAGAGGGGGCAGGGAAGGATCTGGGGTAACTTCCCCCCAGAAGAGAGACCAGCCCAGACCCCTTCCCACTCCCACCCCTGACATGGCTCCTGACCAAGATGTCGAGGCTCTCCCGGCGACTCTGGGGGTCCACACGCTCCAGGATGGGGAGCCCAGCCCCAGATGGCCGCAGGATTGGCAAACTCAGGGACTTGGAGTCTTTCACGCCCTGCTCCACTTTGCCCTCGTCCCCCGGCTTGGCTAGGGTGGCATGGAAGGGCAATGAGAGGTCCTCAGTGCCAGGTTTGGTAGAGGAGGGGCCTCAGTCCTCTCTCCCCTAAGGATCAGAACTAAGGCCTGGCTGCCCTACCCCCACAGCTCCGCCCTGCCAGCACCCGCCACCAGGGCCCAGCAGACACCTGTATGGTAATGAGTCTGCTCAGAGCCATGACCAATGAGAACATGAGCCTGGGGAGGGAAGGTGCCATCTCTAAGAGGCCCAGCCAGGCCCCAGCCTGCTGCCCGCCCTGCCTGCTGCTCACCTTTGACCCGCAGGTAGTGTCCTCCGAACCTGTAGGCCTCGAAGGTGAGGGACAAGGGCGTGTTGGACTGGTCCAGGTAGATATCCACTTTGCCCAGAGCAATGCCCTTCCTTTCAAACACTGGCAACAACACCTCCCTGCCCCCAGGACAGAGGGTGTGTGTATTAGAGAGGCAATCACAGGAGCCCCCACCCCAGCCACAGCCCCGGCTCCACCCACTTCCCAGCGGAAAAGGGAAGCACACACAGGCTCACACGCAGATGCACAGACACCTGCCCACAGAGGCTCACACAGCCCAGCACGCCATGCTCTCACACGGGCACGCGAGGGCAGGCCCATCACACACCTGCTCACACTTGAGCCTGGCCCTGCACACATGATGGGAATGCTCAGGTGCACGGCCCCTTACACTGGCGCACACAGCCACACCATCTGCCTGCAGGTGCAGACTCACCCACTCACAGGCCATCACACAGACAAACGCGGTCCTGACACAGGAAGCCACAGCCCCACCAAACCCTACCCCAGTGACTTCTTCTTCATGGCTGGCACAATCTCCGTCTCGATGTCCACATTCAGGTCAAATTTCAGGGTGAAGCACTCCTTGCTTGGGTCCTGGGAGGACACTGGTCTGCTAGCTTCTCCAGGGCTACCTCTTGTCCCCCACCCTCCTCACCCTACAGCCCTGGATGAGAACCCTAGCAGAGGAGTGAACGCCAGGGCTCTCTCAGCCCTCCTCCATCCCAGGAGGTCCTCAGAACTCCTCCCGCCCAAAGAGCTCCGGGCGCATCCCACAGTGAGGTGGACAGCTCTGGCTGCAGGCTAAGGCAGCGAAGCAGGGGCACACTCGCTCTAGACCTCATCCCTCATCCTGGAGTTCAGGGCAGGAAGGCCCAGCCTTGGGAATGGGAGAGGTGGAGCTATCTGGGAGTCCCCATCTGCTAGCCCTAAGGATGCCTTACATCTGTGTGTCTCCTCCTTGCTTTCTTCTTGGAGAGTTTCAGGCCTGTGCTCTTCCTATCACTGCAGTGAAGGCAGAGGTTGGAGGCACAGGCGGGCCCTTGCCGGGGTAGGAAGGAGTGGGGGCCTTGGCAGGCCAGGCCAGCTTGGGTTTGTGCGCCCTCTGGTGGCCAAGACAGGAGTCACACCCAGTGGTATCTAGTCTGGCATCTGATCCCAGACACCGTGGAGGTTGGCTCAGTCTGGGTGGCCTCCTCCAGGAATCAGGGCAGCTGAAGGGGTAGGGAGGCCTGCCAATCGGCCCTTCTGGGGAAGGCACTGAAGTGTCTAGTCCCAGGATCTCTTGGAACCCCCAAGGTACCCACTCTACCCACCTACCCCTCTCCTACCCTTTGCTGTCCATAGAGCTGTCCTCCTCCTCCTCCTCCAAATCCACTGCGGGGCAGGTGCGTGGGGGACATGACCGGGTGGACACATTCCGGGCAAGGACAGAGCCTGTGGAGAAAAGTGCAAGGGCAGTTGCACCTGCTCCCTCCCTGGCTTCCTGCTTGGCTCTCCCATGGGACCATCCCCAGAGAATCCATAGTCACTCCTGGGACCCCCAACAAAGTAGCTAGGGCCCAGCTCTGTAACTGGAGGGGCTCAATAACTGTTATGTACCATCCCCCAGGCCCAAAAGGACACAGGCGCCCCGAGATAACACCCTAGATGCTGGCCCACCCCTAAAACAAACACACCCATGGCCTCAGTTTACCCTTCTATAAAATAAGAGCACAAAGCCCTGCCTCTAGGACCATGGCAGGAAGAGACCAAAGTCTATGGCTCTTTCTTTCCACCTCCTCTCCCCCACTGCCGTGACCACATCTGAGTCCCAGGGGGCCCTAGCAGAGGGAAGAGTCCTTTTGTCCCTCTGATCAGCTGGGAAAGGAGATAAGGGGTTGGTATTTCTTGCCAGGCCTCAGTGCCTGTAAGTCAGCCCTGCACAGACAGTTGGCGAGGGCCAGGGTTGCAGGAGGGGTTTCTTGTTTCCTTCTACAAGTTCCTTCAGCCCACCCCATGCTGCCTTGGCTAGGCCAACAGCCTGGCTTTGAAGGCTGGCCCAGAAGTCATCTCCCATGAGGACAGTCAGAACTGGGAGGAAAGGAGGCCCAGGAGCTCCCATATGCCAGCACTGGAACAGGACCAGGGGCGGGGGCAGCTGTGGAGGTGAAACCCAACAAGAACAGCACAGCAACCAAAGAAACAGGCTGCTTCAAGCTGTGTGCTTTCCCCAACTTCTTCCCTTGCACTCAAAAACTTACAGAACAAAGGGAACTGCAACAATTCAGGTTTCCTTATTTACAGTCCATGCTGTCCTATCCTGGTTCCAAAAGTTATCAAAACACTATCTCCTGGGACCAGTAGTTAGCATAATGGCTATGCCACTGGGCTCCCATGTAGTCGACCATGGTTCAAGTCCCGGACCCGGTGGCTTAAACTCACGCCGGGCACGTGTGCGTACATGCCCAAGATCCCGAGAGGAGAATGGAGGAGAAGGGATTGCGGCATGGCCATTCCCCCTGGGGGGTGATTTCTCACTTTCTGTCTCTCTATCTCTGTCTGGCAAGATAGAGAGACGCACGTGCCCTATAGCAAAAACCTCTCTCAAAAAAAAAGAAAAAAAAAAAACACTGTCTCCCTAGAAAGGCACTTCAGAGCTGCCCTGGGATCTGCAGGGCAGGGCTGGCCCTTCCAGCACTCACCTTGCGGAGGCAGGTCAAAGCGCACGTGTCCGTCATAATGCATGGTGTTATGGAACTTGCTGTCACAGGCCTCGCAGAGGTTGAGAGGCCCCCGGCGGTGCAGCTGCTGGCAGTCTGTGTGGTGGCATACCTGTGGGGAAGGATAGGGCTGGGTCAGGCTGGGCTCCACAGGCAGTGACACCTGCTGCCCAGACCACGCAGTGCCCAGGCGGGGCTCCTGACTGCCTGCAAGGGCTGCCCCTCTTACCCAACCATCCATCCCCCGGGGCCCTATGTTCATGAATTCATTTGACACACATTTCCTAAGCACCTACTAGTGTGCATTCCTAGGGATGCAGCAAAAGCCAAGCCCTGCTTTGAAGGAGACTTCGAGTGAATAACCTCTTCCAAGGCACAGGCAGGAAGGGCTTCCCCAAATGAAGCCCGGGACTGCTATTCATTTTGGCCAGCTCAGTGTTAGAGCCTTGAGTTCTAGGAAGCCCCTCTGCTCTCTGCTGCTCAGGTGCCCTGCCCTTGGTTCTACAGCCCACAGGGGTTCTGAAGAGTGGCCCTACTGGGTCTTAAAAACACACGTGAAGGAGGACCAGCAGTTAGCATAATGGCTGTGTCGCTGGACTCCCATGTAGGCGACCAGGTTCGCGTACTAGACCCGGTGGCTTAAAACTCAAGCCAAGCGCATGTGCGTGTGTGCCCAAGATCCCAAGAGGAGAATGGAGGAGAAGGGACTGCAGCGTGGCCATCCCCCCCGAGGGGTGATTTCTCACTTTCTGTCTGTCTCTTTCTGTCTTTCTGGCAAGCGCACGCGCCCTGTAGCTAAAAACCTCTCCAAAAAAAGAAAAGCACACGTGAAGGAGTCATGGAGGAGTCAAAGTTGGGGTCGGCTCAGTGTCCACGGACTGTCACTTGGTGACCTGGGCCTGGACTTGCTGTATCACTCCGTCTATTCCCTCCCCATCTTCATGGACCAGTCTCATTCCCCTGCCCTCTAACTTCCCATGGTCCCCTCCTAACACTCCCGACTACTCTGCCTGCTACTTCTCCCAGGGCAACAGGAACCAGTAGCAGGAGACCCATAAGCTCCCACGACCAACTCCACATGTCACCTAACATAAAGCCTGTGCTCGTACCATACCCAGTCCCTCCCTAAATGGTTCCATTTTCTTTTCTCTGTTTTTACTTTTCTTTTCTTTTCTTTTTTTTTAAGGTTTTGCCATAGGGGGCATGTGCTTGCCCAAGAGGAATAGCAACAGCAAGAGGAAAAGTGAGAAATTAACCCCCCTGGGGGGTGTGTGTGACCATACTGTAATCCTTTCTCCTCCATTCTCCAAGTGGGATTTTGGACACTCATGCATAGGTGCCCAAGTGGTCTTCAAGCCACCCATGGGACTCAAACTACCATGTGGTGGGCCATGTGGGACTCTAGCATCTTAAGCACAATGCCCCCTGCTGGTTCCAAATGGTGTGTTTTCTTTTTTTTTTTTTTAGAGGTTTTTGCTATAGGGCCCTTGCGCTTGCCAGACAGAGAGAGACAGAGAGACAGAAAGCGAGAAATCACCCCCCAGGGGGGATGGCCACACCGCAATCCCTTCTCCTCTCAGGATTCTGGCCACGTATGCACACATCCCAGGGGTGAGTTTAAGCTACTGGGTCTGAGACTCGAACCGCGGTCGACTATGTGGGAGTCCAGCGACATAGCCGTTATGCTAACTGCTGGTCTCCCAAATGGTGTGTTTTCTTTAAGTAACAGGACTCACCCCTATGAGTAAGATAAAGCTTTCCCTCTAAGAACCAGCCTATACCTGTGGGATCCAAGAGGGCATAATAAACTCTGGAAGACCCCAAATCTCATCATAATAGCATTTACATGAAAAATAACACACCTATCAATGCAATAACAGCTTACAATCCCCAGGGAAACGACTGGAAATATCCTTACATGGGGAAAAAGGAAGTGGGTTTTGGAATTCCGGGAAGTCCCCACCTTTTCCTGAAAAAGCTTTGAATATTAGCTTTAATTTTTTTTTTAAGTTTTATTTTGTTATAGGGCATGCATGCTCACCAGAAAGAAAGAAAGTGAGAACTCACTCCGCAAGGGGGATGACTGTGCCGCAATCCCTTCTCTTCCATTCTCTTCTCGAGATTTTGGGCACAAGCATATACCCAGCATTTTACAAGCCACCAGGTTGTAAAAAAAAGTCAGTCCTGTGGGATCCAGCCATCTCAACCACCACGCTGCCTTAACAACCATGCCACCTGCTGGCCCCCACCCTGGCTACGTCAGACGCCTTAGCCTAAGATGGGTGACAAGCTGATGTGCAAACTCGGCTCCTGCTTCTCCATTCCTTGATCCTTGAATAAAGCTTGTGCCCTGACCCTCAGTTTAGGTTTTGTATGTGGTTCCACATCGAACAGCGAAAGAGCTCGTATTTGGGAGTAAATTAGAATTGGTAACACACCCACCTGCCCAGAGCTGTGGGGCTTTAAGTAAACTGCCCTGCTCCAGTCTGACACCAGCCCTTCCTTTATTCCTGCCTCACACCCTCCCTTTCTTTTTTTTTTTTTTGCTATAGGGCATATGCACTCACCAGGAAAAGCGAGACAGAGAGACAGAAAGCGAGAAATCATTCCCCAGGGAGGATGGCCACGTAGCAATCCCTCCTCCTCCAATCTTCTCTCGGGATCTTGGACATGCATGCACACACGCCCGGCATGAGTTTAAGCCACTGGGTCCGGGACTCGAACCACGGTCGACTACTTGGGAGTCCAACAACATAGCCATTACACTAACTGCTGGTCCCAACACCAGCCCTTCCTCAGGTCTGCCCCTGCGATGCAGGTATCAGGCTCAGCATTCTCACTCTCCACCAGATCATTCCCATCAGTATAAACCAACATGTTATTATTTTTTAACTTTCATTTTTAATTTTTTTTTAGAGGTTTTTGCTATAGGACACATGCACATGCCAGAAAGATAGAAAGCGAGAAACCATCCCCTGGGGGGATGGCCACACTACAATCCCTTCTCCATTCTCGTCTCGGGATCTTGGGCATGCACGCACACGCACCTGGCGTGAGTTTAAGCCACCAGGTCCGGGACTCAAACCACGGTCGACTACATGGGAGTCCAGCAACCTAGCCATTACACCAACTGCTGTTCCCTAATTTTTATTTTTTTAGAGAGATTTATGCTATAGGTGTGTGTACTCATCGAAAAGATAGAGACAGAGAGACAGAAAGTGAGAAATCACCCCCCAGGGGGATGGCCACGCCACAATCCCTCTCCATTCTCCTTTCAGAATTTTGGGCATGCACACACATGCATCCGCCGTGAGTGTCAAGCCGTGGGGTCCAGGACTTGAACCATGGTCGACAATCTGGGAGTCCAGCAAGGTAATCATTATGCCATCTGCTGGTTCCACCAACGTGTTATTATTTCTCCATTTTACAAAACCTGTCTTTTGACCTACCTTCGCTGTCAGGTACCACTCCATTTCTCTTCTTCCCCTTATAGTTAACCTCTGTAAAACCAATGTATACACTTTCCCCTCCAGCTCCCTCCAGCTCAGTTCAACTAATGGCAATTCCTTTTCCTTTTTAAGAATGATTTATGGGACCAGCAGGTGGCATAGTGGTAAGGTGCTGGACACTCCCACATGGTCAACCATGGTCGGATTTGGAGTCCTGGACCTGGTGGCCTGCTTTCTCTCTCTCTGTGTGCGTGTGTGTGTCTGTCTGGTCAAATTAAAATAAATGAGTCATTATTTTTTTTAAGAATGATTTATTTAATTTTATTTATTATTATTTTTTAATTTGACCATAGAGAGATAGAGTAACAGAGAAGGAAAGTGAGAAAGCAAGCTGCCAGGTCTAGGACCAGAACTGCTGTCAGCCATGTAAGAATCCAGTGCCCTAACCAATTCCTTCTAATTGCTAACTGTTATAGCTTGCATCCTGTTCTCATAAGAAACACATTAAGGGGCCAGCAGGTGGCATGGTGGTTAAGGGCGCTAGATTCTCACATGGCCGACCATGATTCGAGTCCCAGATCTGGCGGCCTCCTTTCTTGCTTTCCCTTGCTTTCTCTCTTTCTCTGGTCAAATTAAAATTTAAAAATAAATAAATATACAAATAAATAAAGTTAAAGAATAATTAAAGAAATACATTGGGGCTGGCAGGTGGCGTGGGGGTTAACTCCCACATGGCCAACCACGGTTCAAGTCCCAGACCTGGTGGCTTGCTTTCTCTCTCTCTCTGTTCCCCTCTGGTCAAATTAAATTAATTAATTAATTAAATAATTCTTTAAAAAAAAAAAAAAAAGGAATACATTAAACCGTGGGGCCAGCAGTTGGTATAGTGATTAAGGCATTGGACTCCCAAGTGGCCAGACATGGTTTGAATCTTGGACCTTGTGGCTTGAAAATCATGACTGGCATGTGTGCATGCATGCCCAAACTCTCAGGAGGAGAATGGAAGATAAGGGCCTATGGCATGGCCATCCCCCCTTAGGGGGGATTTCTCACCTTTCCTCTCACTGTCTTTCTCTCCAGCAAGCACACATGCCCTATGGTGAAGACAGAAAAAAAAAAGAGAGACACATTAAATCCTAATACCAGTGCCTCAAAACGTGACTTTATTCGGAAATAGAGTCGTTGCAGATATAACAAGTTGATTTGCTCATAATGGAGTATGTAATCAAGGGTACGGAGTATGGGAGGAGCATGACGGGTATCCACGTTAGAGAAGGGCCAGCCAGTGGCCTGCTGGGTAAGGTGGTTGAATCCCCCGTGGCTGACTGTACAGGACCCAGACGCTTGAAAAACATTGCAGACAAGTGTGTGTGTATGTGTCCCAAATCCCCAAATCCCCAAATGAAGAATGATAGAGAAGGGGTTGTGACGTGGCCATTTCCCACAGGGGGTGCTGTCTCAATTCCCTGCTTTCCTTCTCTTTGGCAAGTGCACGTGCCCTCTGGAAAAATCAGGAAACCAAAAAAAAAAAAAAGACGAGGAGGAGGCAACACAGAAATGGGACACAGAGGGAGAAGGCCATGTGACAACAGAGGTAGAGATTAGAGCGATATATCTACAAACCAAAGAACATCTGGGACTGCCAGAATTTAGAAGAGACAAG